GAACACGCCGTGGCACAAGTTCAATGAGCCGCGGTGCACGCCTTTTAAATTTTCAAAATTTTTCTTGTTTCAGATTTTCACACTTATGTAACCACTTTTGTGATAATCCCATGCTTTTACGTATTTCAAACTCTGTTTTGCCTTTTTACAAGACTTGATTTGACTTAGATTTATAATCCTGGAGTCTCTATTTTGCTGACCAATGAGAATTTTGCATTTAAGGATGATTATTGTCTCATTTTTTTCTGATTTCTTGAGATTTGGGTTTAGCAATGGGTTAAAAGGAGGAGGATATTACAGGTGATTAGGAGTTAACGACACCCTTATCATGTGTGTGTGAAAGGGGAAACCATAGTTTGAAAGTAAGATAGAATGCCTTTAACTAGTTGTTTCTACCACTGAAGGTGTTTTTGGGTCAATATGTAATTGATCTATTAAAGTCTATAATTTTAGTTAGGGAGTTTGGAGATTTAGTGGATAGATAGTCATGCTAATGCATGCGATTTTGTAAAAAGTTTTGCAAAGAGAAAATTATATATGTAGTAAATGTGATCATTATAATGGTTTTATTTACTGGCATATGGTTATTTATATTAATGAGCATTTAATGAGCTATTTTGGTTATTGAAAATATTATCTCACCCGTGATTATTTATATTTTTACAGGTTCAAATATTGATACAACAAAAGGGAAAAACACAGGTAGAGATGAGAGGATTTCTCTTTCTAACCCATTAAAGGGTTGGTGTAATGAATATGTTTGATGTAGGTTGTAAATTTGCTTATAAGTTGCCATAAGAGCATATAAAAGTGCATAATCTTATGAATGAAAATATTTGTGCAATTTTGTAACCTAGCCCACTATGTGCCACTTTGTGAAATGCATGATGATTGTATAGCCAAGGGCTAATGTATAGCATTGAATATGCAAATGTGAATAACTAAAGTGTGATGGTAAAGTTTGGCCAAGTGTACTTTTATGTGAATGTGATTTTGCCCAAGTGTGTGAGTAATGGGCAGTTTATCGGCCAAATTTATATATATACACGACATTGTGTATATAATTAGTTAATCATGTGTAAATTATCCCATTGGATGTGGGTAAGGCCCTAGGAATGACTCATGACATAGGGTTTGGAATTGAGATGCTCAAGTGGAGGAAGTTGGCTTAAAACGGTCAAATTACACTTGAGTATTCAATTTTCAAATGACATATCAATTTTAAACGAAACTAGTGTCATTGGTTAGATTTTAAAATAAGTTTCATGTGGGCTCTTAAATCATCTCTGTTGGACATCAGATGAGGAATGGCACATGATCAAATGTCATATCAGAATTGCTGTATTGACAATAGATTCTAATATATGCACCGCAACACATGGAGACATGCCACGATGTATGACATAAAACCAAAACTTGTGCCTCTGTACCATATGCCATGGCGCATAGGCTTGTTCTGCCTGAAAGTGCCATTTTGCTTCTGTCTTCTTCTTATGCTTTGACTGGATGATTTTGTTGCTTTCATTGTGCATTAATACATAATTTGAGCAATTTTGAAATGGTTTTCAAATGTCTTAAGTTGAGATCCTAAATTTTTTAAAGTTTTCAATTGTAAATTTGAGTTTGAATGTTTAACCATAATATTTGAAAGGGCATTACATTTTGCATATTAATATTTTTTGTAAAGATGAGAGTTATTGATGTCATAAGTGTATATAACAATGTCAACTTTGGCATTGACAACGTGTTCATATGGTTTTATTTTGAACATTCAGTTGCTAATTTTTCAATTTTCACATATTTTAGACTTAAGTTTAAGATTAGTTAATAAAATGATGACAGTGAGTTGGCTATTAGGATTAACATGTTAGCATTTGGTAATGCTTTCTCAGTACTTGAAGTTGCACTACTAGCTTTTTTTAATGAGATTAACTATGTTAAAGCTCGAGAATGGAGAAAACATCTGGTAATGAAAGTTTTAGGTTTTTTTTAAAACAAAAATTGAATTTTAAAAGAGAGGAAAAGTTAAGAGAAACCAGCTTACATATTAAAATTAAAATTTGTAAAAGTAAATCTAACTTGTGTGAAGTCCAAAATAAGTCAACACCATTCATTCAAGCAAATGGTTACTTATTGAATAGTAAATTATTAGAGGAGCTTGACTTAATCTTTTGTTTTTTTGGTTCTTCATTTTCTTTTACTTGTTAGTTTCACCACCTTATGATGTTTTCATTTTGCCTTTTGCCACAATTATTTTCATTCACCTCTAATTTACCTTGTCCTTGTTTCTTAGTTTTTAAGTTGATTCTCTTAACGTTATCTCTTAAAGAAACCCAGTATAATAGGGTTTATTGCTTTTCTTAATCCTCTTCTTTTCATTTGACTGTTTCATCTTGGCACTTTCCTTTATCCACATCTATAAAATGAATGGTATTATAGATGTTGGTTATTATCACAGGCTACTCTGTTTCTTGTTTTTTCTATTCCTTCTTTAGTTGATGAGTTTGTTTTTAGTTTTATCTTTCGATAAGGTTATACTTGTTATGGCTTTGTTCCGTTTCAAGTTTTCTCTTGGGTTACTAATTTGGTTCTTTCTTGTTGGCACCTTAAGGCTCGTTTGGTATGATGAAATTTGAAGGCATAGAAATGGAATTGAAGATGAAATCCAGATTTTAGTCTGTTTGGTATGCCAAGTCTTAATTCCATGTGGAATCAAATTCCACCAAAAATGATTGAATTGAGTTCCATCATTTGACCCATGGAAAAATTCCATGGAAATGAGATTTATGACACGTTTGACTACCTTTTTTTTTTTCTTATCCTTCGACAAACATTGGTTCATGAACTATGGCAATGGCAAATTAAGGTCTATGAGTGATGGCGACGGCGACGGCGAAGACCTCCACCTTGTTGTCCGCTCCCTTTAGTTTGTCTGCTAGACAAGAAGATGCAATCTTGAAGACCTCTGTAAAGCAACATTGTGGTTCTTGATTGTGAACCATTAGCACTGACATCTTTGATAACAAACCAACAATGATTCTTTAGCAAATCCTTTGAAAGAGAACATCCAAGACTGACGCACCACCAACTATTTGTGGCAAACCTTATGTTTTTTGTATTTTAATATCTTTTTCCATATTTAGATTTTTGGCTATGAAATTGTGACCTTTTCCTTTGGGGATTTTTGGCCATGGACAGGGTTTCCTTCTTCACTAGTGCTTCGAGTTGTCATGGGATGTAAGATGAGATGGGTTGAATTTGTTGGAAGAGGGCATTTAAGTCATTTAATATTTTAAACAGTAATATTAAATAAAAATAATCTTTCAATTCCATACACATACTAAACATATTTTTAAGGAAAAATCACATCCAACCTTTTCCCAAGAGAATTAATCACAGATAAGAACTAATGCGGAATGGATTATTGCTAAAATGGGAACATGACTTTTTTTTTTTTTGAATGGAACTCATTGTTAATCCTTATCTATAATAAATTTTCTTGAGAGGGGACTAAATGTGATTCTCCTTATTTTTAAATCCTATATCCATCTTTATTTCCATATTCAAATTCATTTTCATTTCCATAAAATTTATTTCTAGCGTACCAAACAGGTCATTAATGTTTTTCTCTTCCTGTTACATGTTTGCCAACTTCTGCCTCCGCTAAGCTTTCATCTGATTTTTTAACTGTTGGTGGCAACATTATTTGTAAGAAATCATATGGTTGTTGCTTCTTTATGGCTTTTTAATTACCATTCCTTGGAGAACTTTTCGTTCTCATATCTATACTTTTTTTTGCTTCTCTTTTTGCTGGAGACAAAACTTACCTGTAATGCATATTTTGCATTATGGGCCTATGAATCTCCTCATCGTCAGCAACAACTTTGTTTCTCAGTGTTCGAGGTGTCATCGTGGATCTGATTTCCGAGGGCTTTTTTTTTTTTTTTTTATTTTGTTTGGTTGTTTATTTTCTGTTTCCTTGTTGGCCCAAGTGTTTCTTGCCTTGGGACCTTTATGTAATGTAAGGGACTAATGTGTTATTAATAAATTGTCTTTCTCTAAAAAATGATATTGATTATATTGGTTTCTTCATATAAAAAAAAAAATCCTTGTCTATGTTTGCAACAAATATAATTGGGCTTAACACATTGGGCTATTTAGAGATGTTCACCGTGAATATGTGTATAAGTGTATTCCCAATCTAACGATGCCTCGTCATCTCCATTTATGTGGGCCATATTGTCATTTTACTTACTGAGAAGCGAGGGCGGATTATGCCATATATCAATTGTAAATTAAAGTATATATATAATCTTTTTTTTCCAGAAAAAAGTGTATATATATATATATATATATATATAATCTACTCTTTACTTAGTTAACACACTTGATGATTGCTGGTAATTAAAAGAAAAACATTTAATGACCAAAACACAAAAAAAGAATGTATGAATTTGTTTCATAAACACTAAATAAAAATTTTAAATTATTTTAAATGCTATAGCACTATTTTTTTAATAAAATTATTTTGTCTAAGACCTCAAACAAACAATATTGAAAGTTCTTTTAAAGTTCCAAAGAACCCCCACACATGTATAAATATCATATGTAAAATTTAACTAAAATTGACATGAATGATGTGTACTCACGTCAATTGTTGAGTCTTCAAATATCAACCCTTACATATATATAGCAACTTAATTGAGAAAAATCTATCATTTGTCCCTGCTACTTTGGGAGAAATAATCTCTATTGTGAGTGGAACTTACTTCTTGTACTCACAAAAAAAAAAAAAAAAATCATATGCAAAGCCTTATTTCATCTGCATATTTATATATTCTTAACTTATTATCAGACAGAGAGCATACATATAGGAAAACTACCAGTGGATGATGAGAAATGTTATCAACTTATTCATCAGAAACTACAGAAAATAGATATTAGAAAGCATAAAAGAGAAAGAGGAGGAGGAGGAGAAGAATGATGAAGATTGTGAGGAATTAAGGGCACTTGGGTTTGTTGCCATGAGTGAGCATATCAGTATAACACTTGCCACACATCTCTCTGTGGCCATAAGTGCCAGGAGGCACACACTTGCATCTTGCACAACACGTCCCACACGCTCTCAGGCATATCTTTGGCCTCGAGTGTCTCCCACATCTCTCCCCGCACCTCACTCCACAGTCTGAAATTCATTTACATCATCATCATCATCATCATCAATCAATCATATACAGATGATACCAGCATCACCAGGGACAAGGCCTTACCTATAAATGGAAGAAGCCTTCTGTTGGGTCCTTTTACCACCTGCATGTTATAATTCATCAAAATGTTACTTGAAGACCATTATTAAGGATATTGGGTTTAGAGAGAGAGAGAGAGAGAGGCATTATATATTGAACCAGAGAGTGGTGGGAGGGGTGGTCATTAATCTTGACATCTGCTGAAACCTGAAAATTGAATTAAACCAGAAGTGAAGGGTACTAGAAACGTTTAGCTTAAGAACGAAGAAGAAGAACTTGACCAGCAGTTTTGAGAGGATGATATTATATTCTGTACCTGAAGTGCAAAACAAAAGAGCAATAATGCAGCCTTCAGAAGAAGAAACCTTGAATAAGCCATCTCTGTTACTTGCTTCTCGATCGCCTTGGGAAACTACCACTTGTAATTAAGTTGCAATATCGTCTCAAGCCTGCAACAGTGTGCCGTGGTTTTGTGTGTGGTGGGGTGTATATATAACTGGTTGTCTTACCGTGCAATTTATTGCAATCATACCTTTTTTCGTTTTATTATATTTATAGTTTATAGTTATGCCTAGTCACTATAATGTCATCGTACAATTTAAGTAATTAATTTTATCTAAAAAGATAATACTTGTGGTCATTGTTGTTATTTATCATTTAAGGCCATTACACACAGGTTTTAGTGCCTTTCAAAATTATGCACACCGTAGTAGAATATTTCTCTAGGTGTAAAACAAGGAGAACGTCATTATTAAATACTGTTTTGAAAGTTTAAAATGACATGTAATATCAAACAAAATTTTTTAGTACTCATTTTTTATAGGGTAGATCTTTTTCAATTAAATTGCTACATACACAAAAATTGATATTCTGATAGTTCAATAAGCTCCAATGGGATTGCATCATGTGGTGGCATCATACTTGATGAAAAAGGGTTGGATTAAGGAATTTTTTAAATATCTTGACTCCTATCTTAGTACTATAGTTGAGTTCATAGGCATCTTAGAGGGGCTTAAGCTTTGTTAGAATATGCAATTTACTAAAATTAATATCCATTCTAATTTTACAAAAGCTATTTCACTAATCCAGCATAATTTCTTTGAAATTAACCCCTATTAAAAAATAATAAAAAAATCAAGGATTTTCTGAAAGACCAAACAATCACTTTTGAACACTTGTTTAAAGAAGTTAATAGAAGTGCTACATGTTTACTTACAAGATTTCCTAAGACAATTTAGACCTTATTATTTTTAACTACCTGCCTTCAAGATGAAAAATCCAAAACTTGACACCTGATTTTTATATCTTATTGCTTGGTTTTTCCATGGCCTCGGATCCAAAAAAAAAAAAAATAAAAAAACAATTGCCGCTCATTGCTAACTTCAGTTGGACTATGCATCATTTTTTTAAAATACTCATTTCTCATATACTTACCGCTCATAATCGTAAAAGGTTAAAATTAGAATAAGGTATTTATAGTCCATCTTTTCATGCAAAGTGGCTTATAGAAGGCCACAAAATTTTTTTCTTTTTGTAGAATATGACTTATATATAAGACTTGATGAATTATAATAAAACGGAGGAAGTAATTCGACATATATATAAAAAAAATTAAATCATTTCAAAATAAGTTGTCAAGATACACAATGAGAATTCACATGCTCCTTCTAGTCTTAATTATAAAGCAAAGTTAATTAATTTTGAAGTTTTTATGGAGTGGTAATTAATACCTTAAACTAATTGAAAATTGTGTGATTTTTCAATTTTAGCCTTTAATACTCCCTCTGTCATAAATTATAAGACATTTTTAAACAAAATCTCATATACTAATAAACCTCATTAAATACACTTAACAATCTTATCTTTTCAAAACAAAAACAAAAACTTTTAAAAATACTATCATTTAATATATTGAAAAGAGAAGGAATATAAAATAATTATAAAGAGAGAAATAGTAATATTAGAATGTGCTTATTTAATAAAACTTTAGTCTTCTCAAAGTGTTTTATATTTCGGGATATCGAATCTCCTTCAAAAATATCTTATAATTTAAAACGGATGGAGTATTTCATAATAAAAGTGATATATAGAAATTAGAAGTCCCAACAATTTGTTGCAATTAAGGAAGGGTAAGGTTAAACAAGAAAAAAAGTTAAACTACCATGTCTTTGACCAAAAAAACCTTTAAAACTTTTTTGTCATTTCCTCTATTAAAAAATATAAGACATTTTGTGAAAGGTTAGATATTTAAAAATATAAGACATTTTAATCTTTTAATATGTAATTATTACTTTTTTTAAATGTCCCTATTGAATAAATCATTCTCAAATAGAAGTAAATATTAAAAAATACGGTTAATATAAAGATAAATAATTATTTTATTTAAAAATTAAATTTAATTAAAAATATTTTATATTTTAAAATGAAGGGAGTATATAATTAAGATTAAGAGAGAGTATATATGTTTGCTGTTTCCAACGAAATTCAAGTATATTAATTACCTTATTTATTCGCAAGTGTAAAAATAGAGTTAGTATAGTTGAAGTTGTCTGCGGCCTGATCATAAATTGCCCCTGGCGCCCCTAGCTGTCTCGCACAACCATGACAGATGGCCTTCTAAATCCATGCATGAAATCCACATCAGACAAGTGCACACTCAAAACTCAAATCAATGCTAGCTTTTTCAGATCTCAAATAATTCTTTTTAATATCAATAAATTCATTAAAAAAAAGAGAAGAATTACATTGTGGCCATCAACAATTCAATTAAATATTATACTTTCTCTATTTTAAATTATAAAATTTTTTAAAAAAATTTATTATTTTAAAATATAAAACTTTTTGAAAAAATTAATATTTCATTAAATAAACTTATTCTAATATTACTCTTTCTCTTTTTCCATTTAATACTAATTAGATGTAGATTTAAGGTTATTAAATTAAGTGTATTTTTAAAAGTTTATATTTTTATTTTTTTAAAAAAATAAAATTATTAAATGTATTTAATGAAATTTATTGATACGTGAGATTTTACCTAAGAGTATTTTATAATTTGTGATGGAAGGAGTGATATTTAATTATTTAATGATAACTTAGCATAAGAAAATGATGGTTAGAAAATATTCGCTAATACCATTAAATAATGAATAGATCATGATTATTATGCAGTTGGTAAAAAAAAAAAAAATTTACCCATATGCATATTCATGTTTCCTTTGAAAACTTTCTGGGCAAAAAACAAACAAAAAAAAAACTTTTCAAATTGATTTTGTTTATTTGTTAATTTGGATGGAGAGAGTGGTGCATTGAGATGGTAAAGCATATATTGGTTACTGAAAAACTGAGCCAAACCCATAGTTATTGTCAGCACTCAACTTGCGGTCCATTTACATCCTGCAAGCTGGACATAGCCACATCCGTTTGATTATCTTGATTTTCTGATGTTGTTATACATGAATTAAGAAACGTAATAAAATAATAAAGGAAAAATTGGATCTAATCAAATAGATTACTTCCTCACAATGTATTAAATTAATATTTGAATTCTCATTAAAAAAGTAGCCCATATTTAATGTCAGACTATATTTTGAATAGAATTACCTCAAATAGTGAAAGGAGTTAGTTCTTAACAACATAGTAAATTAAGATTCGAATCCTTGTCATGAAAAATGCTCACATTTAATGTCTAACCATACTTCAAACATGATTGTTTTCAATGAAAGAAGATGTGTAGACTAACCACAAAAAAAAAGAAGAAGAAGAAATGTAATAAATAAGTAAAAATATGATATTTTTATTAAATTTTCCCTTCATTTATTTGGGGTCAAAGGATCAACTTATATTAACATAAAAAGAAAAAAACAAAGTCAAAAAGACACAGTAATAACAGGAAAATTAAGGGAGAAAGATAGAGAATTATTGTGACGTGTGTGATTATGATTAGCCTTCTCAAGAACGCAGCAGTTAAAAAGCTTCAAGAGGGAATTGACATCTTATTGTATAATATTATGGATTTCAAGATTAAGCCCTTGGTCGAAGTTTCTGATCTAGATTTATAAGCTCCTAAGCCATGATTACATGAACTGATCTGGTGGGAGGGAAGCAGATTTTCAGAATATTAGACCCTGAATTTTTGCCACATTGAAGAGGATATTACATTGACAGCAAGATACCCTTTTTCTTTTGAATTTTCAAAGTTTAATCTCCCATGTAAGTATTGAGGATTCAGATCTTGGGTAGATTGGAGGCCTGTTCAAATTAAAGAGATTCGAATGTGGGAGGAGCAGCACTTGTATGTTACGAATCCCAGCTGTATGCACTTTTGAGGAAATTAAAATTATCATTAAATCCTCTTCATTTAATTATGTTGGAATATGTGTAAATGGTTGGCTGTACTAAATAAATTAGTTAAATTGTTGAGTTAAACGACGATAGAACATAAAAAATATTATTAAATATTGCTTTGAAATTCTAAAAAGACTGATAATAATATGTAACAAAATTTTATCCCCACAAAATAAATATAATGAAAAGAAGATAGCGGTTAACTTGTATTTGTGTGTGAAAGACTGGGGAGTATATGTGTACTTTATCTCAAATCTTAATTATATGAGGCAACTTATAAATCCTACTTGATCTGGTTCAAAATACTACTAAGATAACTCGTAGAGTAATTTTTTTTCCCCAACTCCTACCCTTCTCTTATCTATTGCTGGTTTGAATTTATAATTTTAATTGCATTGTGTAACACCCTCAAAACTTACAAATCGATTTTTCACAAATTATTAAAATCATTATTACCATGATACATCCAAGACATAACACAAGTCTTCAAATATCCAAAAAGACAATTAAAACCATGAGGGACAGACATAATCCTCATGGTCATATAAATACTTTTAATAAAAAGGATTAGAGTTTACATGCTTCACAAAGAAGATATGTCCTAAGTTGGCACAAAATACATTGTATAATCCAAAATAAGAGGCAACGTAAAAGATGGTGTCTCATACACCATAGTTACACCTCTGGTGCTTTCTCGGCCGGACTCGCTCCTGTAAAAATATTAACCACGGGGAATGAGACTTAAAAATCCTAGTAACCAAAAATTAATATGTAATGATGCATGCGAATGTAACTAATCATGCGATTGCTAAGTGGGCACACAAAACATTTAACCGAACAATTTTTAAACAAACTGAACAAGTATTTAATTGCATGACTGCACCTTATATCCTCCTTTCACCATGCTCGGACGCCAAATCACCCGGCCAAAGGTGAGTTGGACCAAGCGACACGCCATTCATTGGGTCCAATGAGGGCTTACCACGTGGTAATAATTAACCGAACAGAAATTTTCATTAACACCATACATTAAAATACCCTGACAAGTCATGCATCATTCAAATATCCAAACAGAAATATATCCGAACAATAATATCTGATCATGA